ACAAAAATGTAGCAGTAAACTGTTAAGGTGCTGAAGGTTAGCAATGGCGTTACAATCGATTTATCGAATATTTCGAAAACCTCGAAAAAGAAGCGGCATTATCAGTATTCTTAGAGGATCACATCAGCAAAATGTCATGTTATTATTTAACTTTGCGTAACTCGAAATGTGTACATACATACATACATACATACATACATACATACATATATATATTTATATCCGTGTGATGATACACCCAAGTTTAAGAAGAATGAGAAAGTATATGTAATTAAATGCTAAAATATACATTGAAAACGCTCCAAAACACTCGAAAATAAAAATGCGTTGCAGCAAATGTTGACTATTATATATCGGCATGTTAGTACCATTGCATAACGATAAGCTACTAAACGAATGATTTCATAAGTGATCACTGGGATTCGCCACTTAATAACGAGAATATTAAGAAAGGCCATGTTACAAGGGCTACAATACTACCATTTTCTCTAACAAATAAAAATAAAAAATTCCTCGAAGTACCATCTCTTGCGGCTTACGGCTCGAAGAAAATTCATCTACTTAATGGGGAGTAATTTATCTACTGAACAACCACCTATGGATGATTATCGCGACATGAATTCATAATAAACGACTTAATAGCAATAATAAATAAAAGTATAGAAATTCTCCATCAAGTCTTCATCCCTCCGTAACCGCTTGGGAAAAGAATCCAATTGCTTCCCCAGGAAATGATTTATCCGCTAAATATTCATCCGTCGATGATCCTCGCGACGTTGATTAATTCACTCAAGGCACAAGCGTGTAAAATCGAGCGAAGAACCCGCGAGAATGTACGAGGCGACGGCGCAGGGTGGAGGAACATCGTATGCAGCGACCGGTTTATCAGCGATCATCTTCGCGGGGCTAACTTTGGACTTTCTTCCTGCGATAACGGAAGACTTCCTGAAGCTATTAGGGGGTTAGAGCGGGTTTGTCCCAGAAAATGATGCCATTACTGGTCGACGGTGAGCCCGGGCTCACGTGAAGATCCTATCTCGGATCGCTAGACGGTCACGACAAGGAAGTCTCCAGCACGACGGATTTAATTGTCTCGTTATTCCCGTCTCGCGTTCGCGCGATCGATAACGTAATCGGTTCGCGTCACGGCAGCGTCCGATGATAATAACAGCGAAAAAAGCGCGATCGATCGCGCCGTAAAAATAAATCGCGGGCAATATTCGTGTATCTATATGTACAGACGCCGCTCGGCGGCGCGCTCCGCCTCGACGACGAGACGTCCGCCGCGGGTCTAAAAAAGAGGACGACCGTAATCACCTCGGACGTTCTTTTGCGAAATTCATTTGGAAAATTCCGCCATTCTGAAGTCTCCACGCGTTGGAGGTCACGGTGTTTTCACGCGTCGTCCGATCAGCGATATTCCCGAATTCGAAGGTAAACACCGAAATGGTCGTTTAATCATATAGCGATATATATCGCAAATTGTACTGTCAACCCCCCGCAAATTCGCGTTTCCGTGACTGTCATTAATATGTTAATTAATTAATACATCAATGAGCTTGAATTAGCGCGGAAACGAGCAGCGCTCTCCAGCGCACTCAAACGTTCATTGATTGGGGATTTGGTGTGAAAGAGAGTGAGTATCAGAGGACAAATCGCGATAAACGCGAAAATAATTTTGACTTATCGATTATTGCGAACGTACAATTTTCCGAGCGGATCGCGTCGAGAGAAGAGCGCGTGCGACTTCGGCGTACGAATTTTTCTTCAGACTCCTCGTCGACACACGCGAGCGAATTTCTGCGCGACGGAAACGTCGTCCCCGTCGCGGTTTCAAGGAGAATCGCGTGAAACGGAGCGCGACGGTCGGTCCGAGGGTCGTCTCTCCGCGGTAAAATTTTCAGCTAACGCGTGGCATTTGAATGTCGAGCGGGCTTCTTATTCACCAACACGAAACTGTCTTCCGAGGAGGCCGCGGTGTCCTGACTAATTCACAAGAATCCCGATCGATCGCGAACAGCGGCATCCCTGAAATTCAGGCCGCGGCTTTCGCCTCTCGCGGCCACTTTTAGTCATGCTCGAGTCAAGAATTATTATTATTGACCTTACGTTACTATTCGCTATCAGCGAGAAGATGCACGAGCGAGAGTTCCTCTTCTCGAGTAAGTTCAAGCGATATTTCCCAATCCGGGCGAAGTTGGCCCACGCCGAATGAAACGAGCGAACAGACAGAGATAAGAGGGAGAGGAGAGTAATTAGACAAATCGCCTGTCTGATTTATCGCATCCTGGAGAACCATTTTTGCAGCGCTACTAAACGCCGAGTCGAAATTTCAGTTCTACAACAGCCCCGCGAATTCAGTCGAATTTGAAAGACCAATGAAGAATCTTGAGATATAACAATATGCACTGGGAAAAAGGTTTCTTTGGATTTAGTAGATGTGTTTCTTTGATTTCGGTTTGTTTAATACAAACGACATAATTTTATATCTAGTATTATTTTGTTCGAATGAAAATGTTGTCGTTTCACTAAAGTAAATCATATTTTGTGGAAAAAATAGTATTATTTAGAAGAAAAAATAATATTTAATTTAAGAAAAATTCATTTCATTACATATCAAATATTGTTCCGCTGAAACAAAGAGAAGTTCTTTAATATTTTTATAATATAGTGTCACTTCTTTCAAATAATTTATCGCTTATAATGACCATTATAATGTTTGAATGAAAATACAAAAGAAATATGTTATTTGACGCAAAGATATTTATTGTTTAAGAAACCAAACAATGTTTGTTGAATCAAACATTTATATATTTACTCCAGTTCAAAAGACAAATTTGTTTCAATTGAAGAAATTTTGTTAAATCCGAAGAAATATTCTATGTATACAAGTTATTCTTTTACTTTGATGATGATTGCTTATTGTCGTTTTTTCTATATTGAGTCTCAAATAAA